TGCAGCACCGTGTCACACTGCTAGAAACACCCAAAAGTGGCAGGAAGAAAATGGTATCCAGAAGTTGCCCTGGCCTAGCCAATCTCCTGACATGAACCCCATCGAAAACCTCTGGGTCATACTCGACCGGCAAGTCAAGAAACAACCAAAAAACCAACTTCGAAGAGCGATCTACTCCAAGTTTTGAAGCAAGAGTGGCCGAAAATCCCACAATCTAAAATTGACAAGATGATTCTCACGATGCCCCAAAGGATCAACGAACTCCACAAAGTGAAAGGAAGATCTACTAGATATTAATTAAATTATAAATATATCCATTCATGTGAATATGACTGAAAAATTTCATTTTTTCTGAAAAGATGGTGTCTATTTACTTGTGACCACGCTGTGTATATATATATTAGATGCACAGAAGTTATGTAAATTCATGAATAATTAAAGGTTATTTTATGACATGAAAAGTTGCTTCCCATATATGTGATTGTAATGATTGCATGAATCTCCACTTGGACCTAACAAACCTTCATGCCAAATCTGGTGAAGATCTATCAACAGGGTGTGAAGCAGTGGTAAAAAAATGCAAAAATGCCCATTTAAACTGCAAAACTAAAAAATTGTTTGTATATCTTTATGGGCCAAATGAACCTCCATACCAAATTAAGATCCTTCTAAAGAGGGTGAAGTAGTAGCAAAAAATGCAAAAATGTGCATAAAAACTACAAAATACAAAATTGAAAATTTGTATGTACCACCACATGGGCCTAATGAACCTCCATACCAATTTTGGTAAAGATCCATACACACCCTGCGAAGTAGTTACATGTTATAGATATATATAAACACATATCAAAAGTGGTAAGAATCAGTAGAAACTGTATGTTAGAATTATCCTGAGCATTTTTACAATTACGTTAATGGTGAAAAATCTTTTTCATTTTCCAATCATTTTACAGTGCTCTTTTAAACCAATAATTAATACCATTTTTAATTACATAAAAGCAGTTACCTCCTCTGCTATCACATAATTTAGGAACACTACTGTAATAAAATAATATATTTCTAATATAGCACTATAGCACACAGGCTAATAGTTACATTTACTAGTTGCTTTCCTTTTTACACAGAATTCCTTTATCTACATAAAATTAAACCACATATAATTTAAGCATTATATTTTGAGTAAAGCCACTGACAATTTTAACAAAGAGAGTGTTTGTGTGTTTTCCATTTCCTTTTTCACTGACCTGCATCACTATTACACTAATAATACAAAAATTATGCCTCTAATATTTTAGATTATAGTAATTTTGAAAATAATCTATTTAAATGGTTTTTTTATTATTACAAAACAATATAAATTAATGTTTTTTATTCCAGGACCAGTTTAAGAATTTGAAACATATCTTAGATATACAAGACGTACAGAAAACTGGAATATTTAGATAGCAACTAGCTTTTGCTAACTCAAAATGAAATACATACCTGAATCATCAGTTGTAGCTTCAGTACTAAGTTAGTGGCATATTGCTAGAAGAAATGAAACAAGCTTATTAATTAATTGTACTAAAAGTTTAATGCATACCTTTAACAGATTCATATGAAGATTAAAAGTTGAAAATACGTCTTAGAAACAATCACAAAGTTCATAGCTACCAACATCACAATGATGGGAAAATGGTGAAAATTAAAAGAGTCAACCCCAACATTGGGATTGATTTCAAAACTTAGAATGGAATGAATTATAAAAAATTACTTTTATAATTTATGATCTACAGTAAAATAGTTGATCATTACAGACATTATTACTAAAAGCTTGACCTTAACTCCTTAAACCTGAGTGGATACTGTTAGCATCCAGCCAAAAACCCTGATTTACCCATGAGACAGTGATAGCATTCTATAACATATATGTCTCTTTTGGCTGAAAACTAATGCAACCCATGTTATTGTCCATAAAATTAAGAAAACTGAAATTTTATAAGGTATGGTGATACTTATTAGAAAATAATGAAACTAATTCTGACAGAATGCACAAAAATTACAGGTTTAAAAAAATAATGTTTTAAAGTCACAGATCATTACATCAACATGCGATAATATGGTTTAAGCTAAATAAACAAAAAATGTTAGGCCATAATAAAAAAAAAAAAAAAAAGGTGAAAATGTTACAAAATAGATGAAAGTTTTCTTACAGACTGTAATCTTTAATCTACACTTGTCTACAAAGCAAAATGTATTTAGAAACCAGACATTGCAATAGACTGTTTATTCAAGAATGCTACCAGTTTATGGTAAAAATAAGAAAAATGAGTTGATATGTAACAGATGAAAACCTTATCTTATGCTCACAAAATATTTTTCTTCTCCAAATGACCATAATAATCAAGGAATAATAAAAGTTATTTAAAGTACAATTCAATTAGTATAAAAAGTAAATACACCTCTTTATTTTTCTGGGCTTCAGGTGAACGAAAAGTGGCATTGATCCACTCTTTAGCATCAAAATTGTCATTTGAGAAAGCTGACAAATCCTGAAAAATAAAAGTGTTGTTACCAATAAAAACAGACATCTTAGTTTTAATAATAAATACATGGAATAAAAACAAAAATTAGAGAAATATGAACTCCAAAGAAAATGTCAAAAAGATGGCGATCAGCTACTAGACCTACAACAGAGGCTTGTTTATACGCTTTACAGTAACAGCACAAAGATGGGTACTTAGATTTTACAGCTCTTTCTTCCACTAATAAGGTTATAGTTTCCTTCTGCTTTACTCAGTTTATCAACCATGCAGCAACTATGATTTTTAATGGCCCATTTAAGGAATAAAATGGCCTATGACTCCCAAGAGATTTTTGTAAATATATAGTGTGAACTTCCTGTTATAACTGCATATTGCAGAGGTACTGGCATGGTCACTTAGATGTGTGGCTGGCTGAATGCAAATATTATGTATTATGTACTTTACTGATATTCAATCTTTACAAGTGTGGTATTCCTCTATAGCATGTGGTTGTCAGTATGTTAGCATTAGAATATGCAGAGTTTACCTTAGAATTTTCTTAACTCCCTAGATGCGCAACTTATCATTAAAGCTGTAATCTATGATCAACATATATCCCTTGGGTAAGTTTTTGTGACATGTTTTATGCTATATTTGAAATGGTATGATGATAAGAAATAGCCCAGACTTTTATAAGCTATTTACACACATGTATCTGCTTCATCCAATATGATGATGTACTGAGATGATCCTTCAACTATGTGCTTTGAGAAAAGCTTTAGAGGATAGCTTGTGACACTTTTATATTCTTAAATCTGTACTTAATGTAGTGCAAAGTGAGATTCTTACTTCAGATGGAATGGAGTGTTGTATTCTTGGGTTAATTGTGCTAAAAAGCTTTCTAAATTTCTTAATCTATCTTTATAAGATAACTCTAACACTCCCAGAATCATCTTAGCTCAAGCTACCAAACATCCTGGTTTGTTAAGGACAGAACTAACTACAGATTGGCACTCCCAGTGTACCAAAGCATTGACAATAATTGTTTTTTTTTTAATTTATAACTCCCCCCTTTCCAAGATATCAGGTACATTGTTTCTTGCTTACTATTTATGGTCAAGGTCAAGATGCACCTACATATTTGTACTTCTGTGTGCACATATTTAGTGCATTTTATTATAATTTATATGCTGTATTATTTAAGAGACACTTCTTGTGCTATGTTGGATTCAGAAATAAATATCATTTCCCATTACATTTTTTTTAAATTGATAGTAATAATCAGGATTTTCCATGTCCTAGTTTGACCTTACAAAAATAAAACACGGTAGCCTTATTCCTACTCTTGGTAGCAGTACTCACTAGTACTAGTTGCCCTTTTCTGAAACTGAATCTTTTCCATAAGCCAATAACCATTCTTATTATTATAATTACTAAGTTAGATAAGGAAACAAAACTGCACACAATATTCTAGGTGAAGCTTAACTGTTGATTTTTATATAGATATAATTACTGCTTTATCTATGGGGTTTTGAGTCATATATACAATTACTTCTTTAGCTTTACTACTATTAGTATTACTATAAGTATGATTTAATATATACTGCTTCGATGGTTTATGATGTGCAGTGATGTACAACTGACATTAACAAGTTAGAAATTTATTTACCAAACACCATTACTTAGTATTAGGCTTAGTAAGTTTAGGAATATATTTATTTCAGATGCTTAATTATTTCATTGATACTTTGTATTGATCGTAATAATATTAATATAATGTGATCTGCGGATTAGCTTAGATAGATAAGTCAGTACAGTAACACTATACTATAAACTATAGTATAGACTAGTACAGTACATGAACTTTCGAGAAGCTTATTCAGAGTTAATATTCTTCCAAGTTTAATGTCCAAGAAAATTAACATAAAAGAAGGGTTTACCATATATGATAAATCAACTTTTTGTTGCAAAAGTTAAACTAACTTTAAGAACAAATAATAAATTAATATTTCACATCTGCGCAAATTCCTAAGCCTAAAGCCATGTTAAACTTTAAAATAAATATTACAGAATATACTGACTGTTACTTCAAACAGCCAAAGTAAGCCTTTTCGTTAAAGGGACCGTTAAATAAATTATTATCATTTAACTAAAATCATCAAATCAAATACAGGTATCCCTTGATTTATGCGTTTTCGTTTAGTGCGCTTAAATTTTTTATAACCAATATTCGACTAGTGCGTGCATAATACTCGATTAGTGCGGTAACACACATTTCTTTTAACCATAGTAATTGAAAAGTAAGTTTTAGGCACCGAAATTAATTTTTTTTTAAATTGAAAATAGAAAATGGGTAACTATTTTACTTGTCAAGTTATTACTAGAGTC